ATATATATATATCTGAAGAGAAATAAAAGATTATTTTTGTGTTGTTCACTCAAAAAGGTCAGGTAAGGTACAATAACCATTCCCCCCAATCAGGTCTTGTATGCACCAGCTGCATATGCAAGCAAACAGTACATACATTAATGTGTCCCCAAGAATCTTAACATCTACTTTAACTATGTGAAACTGAGATTTACCACCACCACCAATGATACTAAAAAAGGACACAAATTACCAGTTAGTCTGGAGGAATCGATACATAAACAAATAAAAATACTACTACTACCAGCACATTGTTGATGAGAGCTGTCACACTTCCTAATTATTACGTGAACTAAGAAACTATCCACTGTTTCTGTTAGAAAAAAATAAATAGCTGTAATACTGGGAAGTGATTACATACGTCAGTTTTTTTCCCACAAAAATGATGACCTTATCTTTTGGCTTCATAGAGGCGATGAAGTCCTGCACAAAAGCTCTCTTTTCCTCCTCAGCAATAACAATAACTCTCTGTTCTACTGTATTTACTGCCTGTTAAACAGTAGAAAGCGATGTTAATAGAAACAGACTAGAATAATATTTTTTCTGTTAATTTTCATGATATTATAAAACTAGCAATATGATACAATGAAAAACTATTTTAAAACAAAAATATGTATCAGTTTGGAGTTCAAACAATGCAGATGTATTTGTTGTTTCCTAGTTGCTTTAGAATAGTAAAAAATTATCTTTAAGCAGTTTTCAAAATCATGTATTTGCAGAGATTTAGAGGGTACAGATTGGCAGACTAGTGGGGTAAAATAAATATTCCTAGTGTTAGTGAAAATCAGATTGAAGTACTTGGAGTATATTTTATGTTAACGCAGAGCACGTTGGACAAGCTTTTAAAGAAGATTCTCCAGTCTACTTGAAATGATCAGTTCTGCCCAACAATTCCAACAATAGTTTTCTAATGAAAACTTTACTCCATTATATTTGCAGGTTGCCATAGAATGTCCGAGGTAGACTACGTAAGTAGTACAAAGGTCCAGACGTCGTCACAGCATCTTAATCTTGTGGCAAAGGTTGGAGAATCAATGAAGTACATGGAAAGATTCTCTCTCCACATAGTAAGTCTCCCCGCTCCCCCTCAGAGGTCACCTCTTTGATTAAGAGAACCTCCCATAAGAGGTGAATGCATTAGACAAGAGAGCCACCATAGCAGTTGGTATCTTTCAAATGATGATCCTCTGTCTGACAAGTAACGCCCTTTGACAACAGCGTAGTTCTGAACAGTACAGATGAAGGGTACATTTTCCCCCTATTTCTACCTAAAAGTGTATAGGCTACTAAGTTTCCTCATTCCCTGTCACTAAAAAAGTGGAACTGAAAAGAAAAATTTCCTAATTCAAGAACCAAACTCAAAGCAATCACTGGACCAGGATGTGGAAATCCTGGAAGAACTACTGTTGCTGTAAATTCTGCTGGTACTGAAGCCAACTACACACAGCTGCACAAGCATGGCAAGCGTGCAACTACATCTACTTATTAGAAGCTCTGGACGTTAGAGTTCTTTAAGACATACGTTCCTGCTCTAAACAAGTGCCTTCCCTGAGTTTAGTAGAAACCTTCCACTCTTTTTGAGAAAGCAGCAGTTAGGAAACACAAATCCAGATGAGGAGCTGCACACATTAGGAGGAAGACCTTCAGAAGGAAAAGTAAGAAAGGAACAAGAACTTGCTGAACAGAAACAAAGGCTGCAAAAACAAGGGTTCAGGCAAGAACATGTGCCACTGCAAAGTACAATATTCAAACTTCAATTTGACTGATACAAGTGACGTCTTCTACTGAAGATCTAGGACTTCAAGATCTTGTTACAGAAACATCAGAACAAAGTTCTTTTCTACCTTTTTTTTTAAAAAAAACCCTTTTTCTAAACTTTTAATGAAGCTTTAAAAGAATAATATGGAGCTGGTTTTTGAAAGTTTGGATTGTTTTTAAAGTTACATGCATTTAGTTAGAGTTACAAGCAAAATACTTCCCGATTTAACTGCAGGTTCTTCTCCCAAAGAAAAGAACAAAACAAAACAAAAAATGAACAGAACAACTTACTGCTAAATCAAGAGTGCCAACATACACAATCATAGGATTTTTCAAATAGGATTTCGCCAGGCGACGAACACCATCAGGCCAAGTAGCACTAAACAGGAAGGAAAGAGGAAAACAGCCACAAGAACAGAGTGTAAAATCTTCTCCAATTCATTAATTTCATCACATTCTTCTTTCTTCTTATGTATCAGTGAAATGCTTAAGCATGCAATAACAGTAGTGAGCATATATAACACTAAGAAATAATCTTAAGAAGTTATTAGTAAACAGCACTTAAGCTTTAAAGATAACTTTCTAGGTTAAAAGTACAGGCAACAGTCATGGAGCCTTTCTAATGAAGCCAAAAGTGAGTTCAGTAGTTCAATGATAGCTAAGAAGAAAGCTTCTAGTCTGTTTTTAGGTCTAAAACAATGGCTCCAACGCAAAATACAATAAAATTATTGTTGGGATATTCTATTGTTAAGCTCCCAAAAACGGCATAATTTAAAACTGAATCCAAGTATAGACTAGCACAGATAATGATCAGAAGGTTAGGACACATGTTTGGTCCCAGATGGAGAAGTGGACGTTGGCATTTCAAATTGAAATGGCAAATTCTAGCACTCCCAGGACACTTTCCTTTTTGGAAAAAAAATCAGTTGTTTTCATAGTTGATGCAAAACATCAGAAAAGGCATAAGAAATGAAAATAAAGCTGTCAAATGACTCATTAGGACCGACCAGCTGAATCAGAAAGAAAACTGATTCTATTCCCATTTATGCTGGTAAAAGTTTTATTAAAACTGACATATTTTGAAGTTAACTTGTTCAATAACCTTACAGTCACTTGTTCAATAACCTTGGTTATTGAGCACTATTATGTTTACCTTGTCATAACAGTTTGTCTGTCAGGCCGCACATCTATTAGGATCTTCATTATCTGAGGTTCAAATCCCATATCTAACATTCTGTCAGCCTCATCTAAAACCTGGTCGAAACAAGGTTATTTATTGTGTCTAGGTCCTCAGATAAGAGTTTCAGCAAGACATTTCACAGCAGATCATTTTAATGGTAACAATTTTAATTGCAGAATGCACTCCATAATGTATTGCAAACCTGTTCAACTTCTATTTCACCTCTTCAGTTTCACAGAACCACAGAATATTAGGGATTGGAAGGGACCTCGATCATCTAGTCCAATCCCCCTGCCAGAGCAGGAACCTAAATGAGATCACATAGAAAGGCGTCCAGGCAGGTCTTGAATGTCTCCAGAGAAGGAGACTCCACAACCTCCCTGGGCAGCCTGTTCCAGTGCTCCGTCACCCTCACTGTAAAGAAGTTCCTTCTGAAATTTAAGTGGAACCTTCTGTGTTCCAGCTTACAACCATTACCTTGAAGCTTTTTCATTTTCTAACACATGTGCAGGCAGAACAAGAAAATCCACAGCACCTTTAAGAGCACTTAAAAGTCAACAACACTAAGTCAACAGTTTCCAAACTGGTGCATTACTCATTCCATATCAGCTACTTGCCAAGTACGTTATGCTCTTCAAATTTATGAAGTTGTTCATTTGAAGATCGTTCAGTCTGCCAGGAGTTGCAATAACAATATCCACACCTTTGGTAACCATGTCTATCTGTCCTTTTCGGTCCCCACCACCATATATGCAAATACTGAAAAATAAAATTGTTTACAGAACCAGCATATTAAAGTGCAACTAAAATCAGTATTTTTCAAGTAAAAGCCACTATGTTGCTTCATTTAAAAAGTTATCACCTGGTGTTACCAAGAGGAAGGAATACACTAAGCGTGACTGACAGTATCAAAGTAAATAATGGACTTAGCACTGAATGA